TGTCCGTTGTATTCGCGAAACGTGGAGAATTTGGATTGATCTCCAGTGAGATGGTGCCCACATACTGAATCCACGATCCAGTCTCTTTCAAAGTTTATGGAAGCTATGGAATTTATTGCTCAAGTCTCCGCTATGAAGCACTTTCCCCAGTCTTCTTCTTTTTCTTCTTCTTCAGCAACTTTCTTGATTTGAGCTATATTGCTCTCTTTGGCTCGACAGTATCTTTTTATGTGCCCGACTTTGCCACAACGGTAACATTTTAAAGGCTTTTTACCGTTGCTGGAAGACTCCGCCTTCTTTCCTGGCGAGCTCGAACTACTTGAGGATTGAAAGTGCATGTTATCTCTTTATTTCCCCTTAAAGTTCCTCTTATCGGCGACACAAGCATTTCCTTCCCCTTCTTTGATAGATACACCAGCCATCTGTTTGGCTAATAGCTCTTGTGACGATAGCAAATTCTCAAATTCTTCCAAAGATGGTTGTTGAACCCATCCTTGAATCGATGTAACAAAGGGAATATATTCTGGCTTTAAGCCACGAATAATAATTCTTCTTATTCGTGCTTCAGAGATAGCCTCGTCCGGATTCAATAGAGAAATTTCAGAACACAGATTTTTAACCTTCAAAAAATACTCGGCGATCGAGAGATTACCTTGAGTGGTGTTAGCTAACTCATTCTCCAAAATCTGTAGCCGAGCTTCATCCTTCTTATTGAACAATTGATCGAAGGTCCTCCATATTAAATGAGATGATTTACACCTTATAATATGATCAAATAAATTAGGAGAGATGGACCTCTTTAGGATAAACTCCGCTTTAGCATTAATCTGCTTCCACTTCTTCCGTGCATTGCTATTTTTCGATGCGTCAACAGGAGGACTTGTGTTACTCTCATTGACAACTTCTCACAAATCCTCACCAACAAGGTATGACTCCATACAAGTCTTCCATACCTTGTAGTTGGACTGGTTCAATAACTCAATCCCAGTCCATTAGCACGACCACCCAAATCCATTTAGAGAAATCAGTTGAATCAACCACTAACCCGACCTTGAAATCCAGAAGCCGACTTGAGGCTCTGATACCATGTAAAGAATAGAAGAAGAAGAGTATTATTCGGAGACCTTCTGCTAGCCCAAGATCGTTAACTAAGATTGGAGGATTCAACTAAAGAAGTGGAAGCTTGAAAAGAGAACAAAGATTTTAGATAGGAGAACTTATTTAGGAAAGAAGGCTTTCTTGATTTTTTGGCTTCACTACAAATGCCTAAGGCTACTCTTATTTATACTTGTCTAGAGATGATTCTAGATACAAAAATAATCTAGATAATTCTATCACATTCTACTAATATCTTCCTTAAATATCCAAAACTCTAGAGTATCTAGATATTTCTTAAGTACAACAAATATCCATGATATTACTCTATAACTTTCTAAAAACTTCTTCTAATTATAATTTTACTCTTCCGAAAAATCAACTTTATTTTTTCACAATTTGTACTTTGAAGCTCCAGGAGAAGGCGGCGTTATATAACAGCTCCCCATTTCATGTATAAATATCTAAGGTGGCTCTTCTCTATCAAAGGTAATTGAATATTTTAAAGGGGTTATATAAGGGAGAGTGACCAAGACACCCGACCCACTATAAGAAAATGATTAAAGAAGTTTGTCTTACATTTCATTAGCTTCTTGGTATGCATAACTGGATGCAACTGCTCAGAGTAATCAATTATGACTATTATTTACTCGTAAAACGGTACAATTGAATTTGTAATGTGATTAATAGACACATGAATTAATTTGATCCAAGAATATCAAATAATCAAGAACAAAAATAAGTTAATGAAAATAAATTAAAAAGAAACACAAGCCTGATTATGGGCATTACATCTCCTAAAGCAATAACAAGAACAATATGAAGAACAAAGTAAAGAATATTATTTTCAGTAAGAGCTTGTTTTGCCTTTTTGTATACAGAATATTTCGTGTCATTCAATGAATATGAATTCTCCTATTTATAATTTAATTCAAGAAGACAAGATCCCCAAATCAAGCTTTTCTTTAATATGAATAAAACCTCTCTTTATGATTCAATAACGGCTGAGTATTAATACAAAGATTCTTTGTAACGACTGCTCATTAAATGTTGTATTTTCCAACCGATATCTTCCTTCAAATCTTCGTCCTCGATTTCAATGTCTTCGGAACTTATTCAGCAACGATCACATATTTATATTTGGTGCCAACTATTTGATGACTCATACTTACCTGTCTTTACTTATATAACAAATGTTAATGTTACATAAATTTTCAACTTTACCGAAATTACCGCAATTACTTATGTAACAAATGTTAATGTTACATACATTTGTAATGTGATTAACAAATATTAGAGAGGGGTTGTTCTGATGGTAAGCAACCTCCACTTTCAATCAAGAGGTTGTGAGTTCGAGTCACCCCAAAAACAAAGCGGGGAGTTCGTGGAGGGAATTATCCGCGCTTCGCGCGGTCCTAAAACATCAGCCAATCTACAGTTAGATGATGAAAAATTGTGAAACTTTCACGTAATAGATAATTGAGTAGCAATATATCGGATGAAATTGCACCATAAGAATTAACTCGAATAGCCGCACATCTAACTGCTTAAACTACTGCTTAAATTAAGAATAGCCAGTGGAGATATAATATATATATAATTTATGTATTATATGTGTACAATTATATATAATTGATGTATATGGCTAGAAAAAGTAAATAATAAATATGACCGACTGTTTATGTAAGGATCTTCTCTTCTCTTCTCCTCTTTCTATCAAGATCTTCGTCGCAAAACAGAATGGTTAAGAGAATGGCGTTTGCTTCTTAAAGCCAACTTTTAAGTTAGAATTAAAACAAAGGTTAGGAATACAATTACTTTATTACTTTTTCTTTTCTTTTATTTCTCTTCCTCCCTCCCTCTCTCCCTCCCTCCTACAGTTAGTCCAAAAAATAAAAAACTTTATTCCCTTCTTCATGGTAACAAATTTTTATGTTATTAACCTAATTCTCTGTCAAATATATAATTAATTTTACTTCTATGTCAGCATTTCTGTTTCTCCGTTTAAAGCATCAACCAAAGCACCAATTAAACTCCAATAGTTTATTATGTGTCCATATAATATAGATATGCAAATCCATCATAAGATCGCATGAACAATAACTTAATGAAATAAAGATGAAATTGTTTTAAGAAATTAGCAAGCAAAAAGTACCTGCACTGCATCAGATTGGCTGCATTGCGGCCCTCATTTTTTATCTGGATAAACAGCCGCATAAATCATCATGAAGTTTGTAACAAATTAAGGCCATGCCTGAAAGTGGAAATTTTTATATCCGTTTCATCCTAAAAAATTGATAACTTCTTTTGTTCTTGCATAGCGAAATACAAGATCCTGCTTTAATTTATTAAGCTCTCCGCCGGCAATCTGACCAGCCATGTGATGAGATGAACATTGAAAGACAGAATAAGGTGTCATATAATTACATATTAAGCATTTGGGAGTTATAAACATGAAAAGACATGAGAGTTATGAATAATATTAATTAGAAAAGTTAAGGACATTAAGATATGTGAGTTATGGAAAACATATATCCAAGGGACGGTTCTTTTATAATGTCTTGGACTTCCCAATAAAAGACATAACGATCGTTTATTATTTAATACAGAATTTTAGACATTTTAATAGTATTAATAATTGAATGAAAAAGGAAGTAAAATGCAAAAAAAGGAGAAAAAAGATAATTATAATTGCTGGGCGGATAGAGGTGCCACATCACCTTACTAATTCCCAACTTTATATTTATATATAGATAACTGAGAGGTAAATACTTATCAACACCGGGTGTTTACACCAAACTATATTAACTTACTATGGTTAATTAATTTAATTAGATGAGAATGCATGTAATTTACAATGGTTAAATGATTGAAGTTCATATGCAAGACACATGTTATATATCTATTGGTTTGGTGTAAACACTCAGTGCAGTTTTTACCTAACTTGAGAAATACAAACTTGTTCGAACACTGTCTTTACAGAAAAAGAAAAAAGAGTTAAACATAATCTGAAATATCTTTATTTTATAATCAGTTATGCGTTATGGCAATTCATAACCTTATTATTAGCAAATATCAAATGATTTTATATTTGTCCTTGACTTTAACGAGCTTCAGCCTGGACCTTAACCAAAGTATACAGGAGAGTAATTTTAAATCATAGTTAAAATCACAAATGTAACTTTAGATAATTTTGTAAAATATTTTGGCACGTAAATTCGCATAATTGGGGGTGTGCATTCGATTTTGACCCTTATCGATAATTACATATCGATTATCGATTTGTACATATGCTTATCGTTATTGTTTCAATAAGGTTTCGATTTTTTCGATTTCGATTTATCGATTTTTGGGGTTTATCGATTCGGTTATCGATTACACCAATAAGAAAATTTCCGGGATCCCACGAAAAGTATATCGCTATAAATACGCCTAATTAATATGGACAAAAAGAAGCTAAAATAAGACGAACACCGTTTATAACATAAAAATTGTGTCAACAAGCACATGCAACGAAACTAAAGTAAGGGATCAAACGTATGTCACCAACACTCCAATGGTATAAAAAGAACATCATCATGGCTGAGTTTGCAGTTCGCGAGAGAGAGGGAGAAAGGTAAAAGCGGCGCTGAAAAATGAGTAGACGAAATAATAGGGCTAGGGACTGAGGGTAAAGGAAATGGTATTATAAAATAAGGGTATATTTGTCTTTTTAGTATATCTTATCGGTTTATCGATAAACCGATAATTGAAGAGGACAAAATCGAAATCGAAATCGAAATCGAAAACTCGAAAAATTTCAAAATCGAAAAAATAATTGATTCGATTTATCGATAAATCGATTCGAACGCGCACCCCAGCCATAATCCACGCCAAAACTTCGTTTAGCTCAAGAAATACTCCTCAAGCTCATTGTTCAGACAGAAGAATCCACTAGACCCATGATTTCAATTTATGTACTTTTTGGAGGAGGGAGAAATGAATCTGGAAAATCGCAGATACGTCCCTGAGCTGCACCAATTCAACCTTCTCCTCAACTGTTAAAAGCTTTTTTTCTGGTTTGTTCCCTATTCCTTTGTATTTTCACTCTCATTAATTTCTTTCCTGTAAGTCTCACTCACTTGGTCATAGAAATTCAATGAGGATCTCAATGACTTGATCAGATTTGAACTAAAATAAATCATATATAGAAATTCATTTAGGGTCTCTATAACTTTTCCTTGCTGTGTGTTTATTGGAAATAGTCTCTCTACATTCATTGTAGGGGTAATATCTGCATACACTCTATTCTTCTCGCAGAACACTTATGGGGTTATAATGGGTTTGCTGTTGTTGTTGATCTCTATAACTTGGAAAAGTCAAATATCTCATCCGGAATCATGCATGATCTTGTCATTAATTGGCCGATAAAATAATGAAGGAACTGAGGAGACCATCTTAATTTTGGTGTTGTTTCTATCAGAAAATGACTTGGTCAAATTTTGAAGTAACTACATATGGAGTAGTTAGATGACAGACTGAAACCATTAGTTTCCAGTTTACAACAGCTGTTGTTATCATAGGCGGACCTACGTGTATCGTAGGAGGGTCACCGGACCCGTAAACCTCAGAATTTTTTTTTGCATATTATATGTATATACTGTATATATACCTTGAGAGTCTCTTTATATTTTGTTAGGCACCCTGAAACACAAAGGTCAAGTGGGGGCACTGGTCAAAACCGTGGCTTAGCTTTGCTTTTGTGTGGGATGTCTTGGGTTCGAATCACGATTGCCTCTCCTTCTTCCCGGCATCCGGCAAGACCCAACAACTACCGGTAAAGTCCACACCTCTGAGGTATATTAAAGATAGTGGTGCCCCCGCCATCTTTAAATCCTGGGTCCGCCTCTAGCTAGTTATCACATTATTTGCAATGAGAAGAGGAGCTATGTCTTCAGACATACCTAATCCCCTTGAAATGCTGCAGCGTATTACACAGAAATGGAATTCCTATGCTCATATTCCTACAACTCTGAAACGGATTGCAGAGGAATGTCATTCATTCCGTATGGTTTTAGACGGATATCATTTTTCAGAGGGATCTTGTTCCCTTGACACACTGCACGGGATTGAAGAGGACTGGGGCTCATTCCTTGAGTTCTCAGATGAGTATCTGTCAAAGTTATCTCATCTACGTGAAACTCTGACGCAAACCGAAGATGAATGCAGCTCATTCCATATATTTCTTTCAGAGGAATCTGATTCCCTTGACACTCTGCAGTACAAGATACGTCGTCTCCAAGACAATCTTTGGCGGACTGTAGAGGAATGCGGTTCTTTACTTATATTTTCAGAGAAATATTTGGAATATTTCCCCTTTGAAACTCTGCAGAGGATCAAAGATGAATGTGATTATCTCGATCGGGACCTCTTTGCATTTGATGAATTTAAGCTCCTTGAAAGGAATTTCAACTTCCTTAAAAGGGATTTCAAGTTTTTGGATATCATTCTCAACTTGCAGATCTTCAGAGTTCAATCAGATCTCTTAAGAGAAGTCCGAGATCTGTTTAAAGTTGCTGTAGCTGATCTCATCCAGGTCTACAGAAGACAAGGGATCCACCAATTTTATGGCCGTGTCTCCGAATTGCAAAATAAGTTTTGGCAGACTAAGTTGGAAATCAGAAAAGCTAAATACTCTTTTTCCGAAGTATCATATGAACTTTTAGACGACAACGATGCTACTCTTATTTTCAATTTTGTTTTGGAATTCATTGATACCGTGATAGAGAATCTCAGTGATCTACTGAAACTTGATAATCCAAGTTCACCCCTTCATGTTGGGGGACTCGTGGATCAAGTTGAAAAGGCTTTAAAGGAGTTGAAGTTCATTAGAAGTTTTTTCTGCTTTGTTTCAGACAGATGCGTAGAGCCTCGTGTCAAGTATTTATTCTTTTCTCATTCTTTAGAAGTAGCGTTGCACACAACAATGGTTACTTGGTTGTATCTTCCAAGAAATGAAAAGATCTATCGAGACTTTGCTGCAGATAAAGGGTATCCCTTGTTTTCTGATCTAATGCGGAAAAAAATTCAACATATTGGGCCAAGCATCTATATTGAAGTCCTCCAAGCTATAAAGTTAGTGCAGTCACAATGGTATCCTGTTATCCAAATTAAGTATGCGGTAGATTGTGAAGTTGGATTTTTGAGGCTCTCCTACACATTTTGGAGGAGCTACAAATTTCTGGTTATTGCATAGCAAAAAAAGTAACCCTTCAGGAGACACTCAACTTCTTGAGAACCAATCTCATAGATCTACCAACAACGGTGCTTGAATTTCATCTTCAAGATATAGACTCTGTGATTGCTGATGCAGGAATTCTGGTTTACTCTGTGTTTGTTGATGCAGAAATTCTGCTTTACTTATTAAACGAAAAGGAGTAGGGTGATCTTGATTTCCGAGTCAAAATTCATAATCTCCTAGCAATGATTTATCTCATCACAAGAAAGACATTTCTCCTTCAGTCCAACTTGCCTGGAATTGACAGAGTGGGCTCTGCTGATTTTATTTTAGACAACAGGGAGAAGTTTCTAAGCCTCTATTCAAATTCAGTTGATTCTGTCAAGAGCCAACTTCAGACAATTCAGCAAGAACTCAAGTGCTTTCAAGCTGTTGTAGAAACACAAGACATACTTCAACATTTTGTAACACATACAAATGGTTTGGTGTATGAAGTAGAATATGTTTTGGATGCTTGTAAGAAAAAAGATTTTCCTGATTGGTGTCTTTTTCTCTGGATCTTGAACATTGGAGAGGATATTAGAGTGCTCATGGCAGAGGTAGCAGAGGTTCCAGAAATTACTGCGTTTGACTTGGTATTGCATAACATCACAGATGCTGCCCCTACACATACTTCTTCGCGATTTGCCAGCAATCCAAGCACAAATGAAGAGATGGTGGGCTTCAAGGATGTGATGAACGATCTAAGAGTCAAACTAATCAAAGGATCAGTAAATCTTGATGTCGTTTCAATTGTTGGAATGCCTGGATTAGGCAAGACAACTCGGGCAAACGAACTATATTTTGATGAGTTAGTTGTCTCTTATTTTGATATCTGTGCTCACTGCTGTGTCTCTCAAGAATATAAACGGAAGGACTTGTTACTATCCCTTCTACGTGATGTTACTGATGATACAACAAAACTTGATAGAGAGGCTGAAAATGAATTAGCAGACAAGTTTCAGAAACTTTTAAAGCCCAAGAGATACCTTATCCTCGTTAATGATGTCTGGAAAATGAGTGCATGGGATGATTTACTGTCATGCTTCCCTAAAAATAACAAAGGAAGTAGAATTATTCTAACAACTCGGCATTATGAAGTTGCATCTTATGCTAAACACGTTAGTGATCCCCATAAGCTTCGATTTTTCAATATTGATGAAAGTTGGACGCTATTACAAAACAAGGTGTTCAACAAAGAAAGATGTCCCCTGGTCTTAGAGGTTGTCGGCAAAAGCATAGCACAAAAGTGTGGAGGGCTTCCTCTTTCAATGGTTCTGGTAGCAGGTATCCTCACTAGAATGAAGAAGGAAAAACATTGCTGGGAACAAGTATCAACAAATTTAAGTCCAAATATTCAGGCTCAATCGGAGGGCACACTAGATCTGAGTTATCAGAATCTACCACATTATTTGAAACCGTGTTTTATATATATGGGAGTATTTTCCAGAGGACAGAGAGATTCAAGTCTCAAAATTAACATGGTTGTGGATAGCTGAGGGTTTCATTAACACGCACATGGAGAAGCTTTCTGAGGATATAGCAAAATTTTACTTGGAAAATCTTATAGGGAGAAACCTAGTGATGGTTGCTAAAAAGAGCTCTGATTGAAGGATCAAGACATGTCGCATTCATGACCTGGTGCTTGAATTTTGCAGGAAGAAAGCGAAGTTGGAGAACTTTTTAGAAAGGATAAGGTAATAAAAAACATTAATTAATTTTATCTTTTCAATCTATAAGGCTTCTTCTAATTATACCTATTTCTCCATTAACAGGGACAGAGGTTCAGATCCTTCTCAATTTTTCCCTCCAATGTGTAATACTTCACGCCGCTTATACCTTTATTCTCAAAGTGAAAATCTTTCAAAATGGTGTTTATTTTTCTCTCATGTGAAATCTTTCCAGTTCAGGGAGGCTAGAAATATTGCATTCTCTTCAATAGACTGTGTTTCAAACACTTTTAAAAATTTCAAATTTCTAAGGGTATTAGACTTTGAACTCACCATGATTGATTCTATCCCACAAGAATTAACCCTTTTGAAGTATCTTGCTTTTCGGACTGCAGAAGATGAATTATCACTCCCGGACAATCTTCGTAACCTTGAAACATTGATAGTTCAAGGACTTAAGAGGACGAGTATCATTATCAGATACCATTTGGAAGATGGTTAAGTTGCGGCATCTTCACATCTATGATCGAGCATTCTTCACTTTGAACAGTGGAGAAAAATTCTCAGAATGCCAATCGACAATGGTTAATTTGCAAACTGTTTCCTGAGCATGTTTTTTTTTGTGTGGACAATGCCGATAAGATCTTGGAGAAGACACCAAATCTTCGGAAACTGAGATGTGAAGTTTCCAAATTTGATGGCTCGTTTCCTTCATTTAGCAATATTACAAATCTTGAAATGCTCAAGGTTTCTCCCGGCACTACATTGACTTGGATCAATCAGTTGAAGTTACCATCAAGCTTGAAGAAGTTGACACTGTCCAATTTTCACATACGTCTTACTGAAGTTGCAAACCATCCAAAACTCGAGGTACTCAAGGTTGTTAGGAGTTACCCTTAGCTCCAATGTATGGGAAGTGAATGATGAGCAGTTCCTTCAACTCAAATTCTTGAAACTAGAAAATCATTCTTTTTCAGAATGGGATGCCTCAGATAATGCCTTTCCATGCCTTGAACACTTGGTATTAAGAAGATGTCGACATCTTAAGGCGATTGCTTCTTATTTTGGGAATGTCTCCTCCCTGAAATTAGTTGAGATAATATCGTGCAATGAAGAACTTGTCAAGTCAGCCGAGGCCATCAGGGAAGAATTAGAGGGAATGTCGGGAAATTCTGGTTTCGAGCTCTTCATCCCCAAGCAGCAAAAAAACAGGTGTGGTGTTGATCTAGTGCAACTGAAGTTAAACATGTTTATTTGTACACTAGCTCATTGAGTATTCGCTTTGACACCCTGTTACACGAACTTACGTTTTACTTTGAAATGGTAGAACCGTAGAACTATCAATCAAATTATGATGATACTTTTGTTAAAGTTTGGCAAAATGCCAAAGTCCCACATTGGTTGGGAGTTAAGTTTGGAGGGGATTTTTCCCCTATAAAAGAAGGCCTAATGTTTAGGATTGAGACACACCTCTCATTTGCCTTCTCATCTGTTTAAGGCATTTGTATCTTCTCTCTTTAGTATTATTTCACTTGTATTTTTGGAGTGAAATAAAATATTGGTTGTGTCCGAGGAGTAGGCAAAATTAGCCGAACCTCGTAAATTCTGGTGTTCCCTTTATTGTTGCTTTATTGTCTTATTTATTATTTGGTGGCTGTCATAATTTTTGGTATAGTAGTTGTGACTTATTCACACTATATACATTTGGCTTCCGCAACAACTTTCAGCTCTACCTGTCAAAGGTAGAATAAATTTAAGAGTCCTTTTGTCAAATCTAAAACTAGGAAGCCCACGTTGCTATTAACTATTCTCTGCTCACGGCAGATCACAGATAATTTGATAATTTTATATAACGATATCCCAAATTAATCAACTTCATATATTCAATTCATGACAGAATACTGATGGTTGGAAGCTGAAATTCTAATGGTCATCTTTATAGTCCAGTCTTTCAAGAATAATGAATGTTTGTGTTTGTTATTATAGATAAAGAATAAGCAACTTCATTTCAACTCGAATTGAAATAGTATCAGTTTGTGCCATGAAGTTATGCTTTTTTTGAATGATCATATTTTCGTTTAAACCGTAACTTACGAGGTCGCCGCCTACTAATTTATTTATTTCCTTTACATATTTGAAGGAGTTTTATAAGCTGATCATGCAGTTGGTGAAACGGAGAAGCTTATATATTAGTTGAATTATTAGTGGTATCCTTACGGTATTCTGCAACTGATTTTAGTGCTTATTTAACATTCATGGATTGAATTTGTGTGAATGGGTGATAGATATTGTAATCTGTCAATTTGTCAATGTCAAGGTCTTTCACGGTATTTTTTATAATCGTCCATTATTCGTTTTCTTACGTGATTTATTTCTTCCTTATCATGTTGTGGCTAGTTTTGAGTTTCTTCAGACTCGAGTATTCACTAATAAAACCAAATCCATGTATAAGAGATTAGGTTCATTTAAATAAACATCAGAAAAGATACCAAATTACTATTCTTCCTTTATCTTTCTTCTTCCCACATTAATCAAATGAATGAATGCAATCACCAACCCAGATGTAGATGGCCCAGTTTAATAAGATGTTGCTTCTGTCTGGTTTCGAGGTCCAATTACAGGTACATCGTTGATCAATGCAACTGAAGTTAAATGTGTTTCTTTATACCCTAGCTTATTAAGTAATGGTTTCATCACCCTGTCTGAGCTTAAAACTTCTTCTTCAGTTGCACTCATTTACTCTTCAATGTGAAAAGGAAGAACTATTAATGAAATTGATGATGCGTTCAGCTTTACCAATCAAAAGTGGACTAAAGCAAATTCTTTCTAAATATAAAAACTAGGAAGCCGACATTGTTCATGACTGTTCCAAGGCAGATCACAGATAACTTTTAACGACGACATCCCAAATTAATTAGCTTCATATATTCAATTAGGCAAAGGACTGATGGTTGCAAGCTGAAATGCTGATATTCCATCCCCTGATCTTCATAGTCCACCCTTCGGGATAACTGAATGTATGTTATGATAGATAAAGAATAAAGGGCGGTGCACTAAGCTCCCGCTATGCGCGGGGTCTGGGGAAGGGCCGGACCACAAGAGTCTATTGTACGCAGCCTTACCCTGCATTTCTGCAAGAAGCACTAGATAAAGAATAAGAAACATTATTTGAAATGGGTGGTAAGACAACTTCCTCTGATATATGTGTTGGTATATTCCATTCATTTCGGTCCGGCAGCGGATACACGATACCTCGTATGTCATTGCAACAGACTTTGGTTTGTAATAGTCAGAGCAATAATCTTCCGGCATTAAAAACTTGCTCTTCAAGACAACCCAAGCGTGTGGGAATGGTAATTCGTCAACTTGGAACCACCCACAACTGCATTTTCTCTCTAAGAGGCAGACGGTGTAATGCCTTCCTTCATCGTTCACCATATGCAAGTATTCAGCCGATGGTACCACCTACATTTAAACATAGACCTATAAGTTTTAAACATTTTCAAAAAAAATCATTTATATACCAAAGAATAGACGTATTAATTACAATATCTATATACAATTAAAATATAATTTAAATATACAGCAGTATACTTTTATTTATCTTTCAGAATCATCATATATATTGAATTCAAACAAATATGTATTAAATACAAACATATATGTATATATAAAATATAAAGACATAGAGCTGTATACAATGAAATATATTAAATACAATGGAATACATTCTATATGTAGGCTGGCAGAATATTAAAGATGATGACATCTTAACTGATGAATACAGTGATATACAGTAACTATCTGCTTATGAAATGCATATGGTTAGAAACAAAACCATTAAATTCAACTAACCATACAATGAGCATATGGACTGTATTTCGAATAGTAAAAATTGTATCAGAAATAAATACACCTTGTACTAGGGCTAAAAATTAAAATACACCTTTTTGTGTCATACTGTATGACATTAGAGTGTTACTCAGTGGTATCAACATGTTATCATGCTCAACCTGGGGACATTCTAGTGTTACATGGGCTTATAAACACAAGGCAGTTGGAATCTTCAAGCCTGGCTTTTGCCTTGCAAAGCCTGCTTAAAGCCAGCCCCAGCTACAATGTCGCTTTGAATTAAACTATCTCCTGCTACAACTTCTTTGTCAATTGTTGTTACGCATAAAGGATACACCCCGAATTCTCTGTTCATTTTTTTCAACTCTACATACACCCTATAACTCATGTCGTTATGTATTTCCATTGGCGTGTAAATTTCATCTACGTTGTATTCAATTTTGATTGACTTTGAGCGCAAATCTATGTCGAGTTGTTTAGAAATTTAAGCAACCAAATCATTGTACTACACATACTCCTTTCTTAGTATCACCTCAATCAAATAATCGACATAGTTGCTCTCACTGTCCCACTTGCCAGAATGACGCAGTAGCACGGTTAAACTTGTCATATGTATAATCGAATTATACCGATTTCTTTATATAATTATATGAAATCTGGAGTTTTATTGGTTGAAAATAGAAACACCCACGAACGATATCAACAGAAAAGGGAAGGATTAGAAACTCGGTGATTACTCTGTTTTGTTGTATTTATCGTCTGGAAAAAATATTCAGCATATTCGCGTCAAATACAGATTATGGGTGATGTAATTGAGTTAGTTGAGTTATATTAGGAGTCTATTATGTTAATTGATTCACTTTCCGTTTAAAAACAGCTGAATAGACCATGAATTGTGATATTTACGTTACTGTATTCACAAATACGTACACTTTAAAAAATCTGGAAACATAACTATAGGAAGTAATATAGTAAATGATAGCTACAACTAGCTAACAACCACTAAACAATAGTGGTGTGTGAAAATTTCTCTATAAAATAATTTCTGAGTATAAAAGGACAGGAGGCAATTGGAATACATACATCATAACTTGATAGTTGGCCTGACCAGTAGTAACTCGAGGGGTAGTAATCTTTTATAGCAAGCCCAAGGTTCAGCAGTAATCTTTTACCACATAACAATTCATTTTTACAAGTGTGGTGATCTTCATTAGACATATACTTAACTTGTTGCTTTAATATATTGATTATATTACTTCAAATGAACCCTGGGCTAGCTATAAAATGTTCCATAAATAGAGCATATAAGACTTAATTAATATACAACAAGTAGATATAGCGATGGATTACTAAAACCCGTGTCTAAACCCTTTCGGGCAAGTTTCAGCAATGGATTAGCTACAGAAAAATTAACTAAGAAACGGGTTTCGTATTTAATTTCTTGTCAATTTCATTGTAAATAAAAATTAAACTGACCGTTTAAAAGTTCTTGTCGTTAATCGCTAGTATATGTTGTAAGTCTTTTCCACAAAAAATTCTGTCGAAAAATTGTTGTTATTTTCTAAATATTCCATAAAATAAACTTCCCTGCCCGAATGGGAAGAGGGTCCACCAAATTACGGTAGGATGCCCTTTAACGCCAATAAAAATTTGCGCAAAAACTTTTACCGTGTTATATAAATATCACATTATGGTGGATGTCTACTCTTCTTCCATGATCTTGATCTCAAGTGCTTAATGACATATTCAATGACATATTTTGTATGTTTAATGACATATTACATGACATATTTTCTTCACTTTTTATACCTATATAAAGGCCTTGTAATAGATAGAAAAATACACACAATTGAAGAAGAAAATCTCTTCCTTCTCTCTATCTCTATTTCTTGTTCATGTTTTACTAAATTGCTTTTATTTCATAACACGTTATCAGCACGAGTCTCTAACCAATTGTATATATATCTACAAAATATTTCCTACATCCGGAAAGATTGCAATTAGAAGTCATACATATCATCTCATGGTTAGATGTAAAGAGAAACTACATATGGTAAGTAATGGAACGTAAGAAGGTATAATTATGTTATACTTGTCATCCTTTAATATCTCATATGCACACAACTTCGTACCATACATGTATTGCATAAGCACATATTAATATTACATCATTCATATCACATGAATGAAATAAAATTTTCGAAGTTCTATATGTGAAAATCATAGTAGCAGTTACTTGTTGATATGAGGCATGTTATGGTAACCAAGGATATGTTATATAAGTTGTCTTATGCATATTTGTGTGTTAACTATCTTAAATCTGTCCTACCGCTTTTAACATTTTCTTTTACTTGGATGAATATTTTTTCCTTTTGGATTTTTGCACTTGCATATAGTAAAAAAAAAAGGAGAATAAAAAAATTGTCCTACTGATTAGAAGAATAAATCATCTTGAAGAAAACAAGAAATACTTCACATCTTTATCTAGGTTGATTAATTACTTCTTTGAAATTTGAAAAACAAATCAGCTACTGAGAAAGTATACTTCATAATTTATGGTCGTATCATTTGAAAGCAAACAATGATTAG